TGTTTGATGGTGATATGTTGCAACTATCATCTATCATTCTAAGTCAATAAAAATCAAACAAGAAGCAATTTATGATAGGTTTCAGAAAAGCTAAGAACTTCACTGCTGCTGCATTTCAGTAAACATAGTGTTATTTCTGAACAAAGAGAAAATGAATGGTGACTGCTAGGAATTATTAATGGACTATTATTATATATATGCTTATTGGATAATAATTAAGTAACTAGATTACATATATCTTCATATTCCTATTGTCATGAGGTACCACTTGACCTATGGACTACTATTATATGATACACTATTCTCAATGTATTTTCAATCTGTTAATTACAGTCTCTTGTACTCACAGCCACTTTTGACTCGATCATGTATAATTAATATTTTTAATTTTATTGTGTGGTGCTGTATAATCGGCTTGTGTATGAACCACGTATGTCTGAAATGTATGATTTACACAACGTAGGCTGATATTTATTTTTTGAACTGGACAGGTTGAGCTACGCAAAAAATTACTATTTTCAGGATCACTACGGACTCAGAGTCGAGTCAAATCTGCTGGTGCTGGTTGATGTGTACTTAGTGTAACATGGAGACAAGGTCATAGAAATTAGTGTTCTTATTGACGATTTTGTCACATGATATTTAACGGGCTATAGGACATAACACAAAAACGTGAATTTGCGAACTAAGTGTACAAGTATGGACGAGGAATACCAAGTACATATACCATGAATTGTTTGATTCTCAGGATGAAAATAAAAAACAGATTTTGTTTTATTTGCTTTTTTCTTGCGTTTTTAATATGTTAATTTTTTAGTTTAAATGAACTATGGAAATAAAATTTAGTCTAACGTCATTCCTTTTAAACAAATTATGTAGAGACAGAGTCACAGAGGGATAATCAACAAATTGACATGGATAAATAGAAAACTAATTTCAAACAATCGATGAAATTAACCTGTAACTCGTTAAATAGTACAATGTACTATAAACAATTTAATCTTATATTTCCTTACACCTGATAATCACTAGATAATTAATGGATACATCTTTTATAAGTCTTAAACATTGTGAATTGAATTAAGTTGATATACTACTGCAAAACAAAGAAGCTTTTCACAGCACACGTTTATCAATATCAAATATAATTGTTATGAAAATATCAACTAAGTAACTACATTAGGATTTATCATCTGTTTGCACGTACTACTACTGTAAACATAATAATAATAATAAATACCTAGTTACAGTACTTTAATCACGAAAAAAAATCCCAAAACCTTCCACCAAAGTTGTGGATTGCGCTACATCTGTCGACAGATATAAGTAGTATGTAACATCAATCAGAAGTGGCACGCCTGGCAAAAGAAGGTTGGGAAGATCGAATCAAAGAGAACAGGAACAGAGAGTTATTCTTATAGGAATGAAGAAACGATGAAGTCCGAGACAATTGATAGAGGATTTTCAAATAAAGTATTGAACGTATGGTTTTCACATTTTACCAAAAACACTCTAATTTTGTGTCAAGATAACTAGTCGTCCCCTCCTGTGTTCTCGTTCATTGGAAGATCAGGTGTCTCTCAAACCACAAACCCAGAAGCTATAGACATTGCCTTCATTGACACATTTAATACTACTAAGTGGCAGAGTGACATTTCTTTTTTGTTACATTTATGGATGCTGTCAACTCCTATGATATTGTTGGACCGGCAAGCTCTGTTCTAATTTTTGTATACAGAAGAAATAACACCGCAGCTGACCATCTACGTCACGCTGCAACTTTGCTTCGTCTTTTTGCTGGAGTGTGTGTGCTGAAAAGGTCTCAAAACTATTAAGTCAATATTTTAATAGCTATTCAGCAAACCTGGAAGTTTTGAATGCTTTAACACGTGGCCACTCATACTGCACTGATACGCTTCCAGTACATTTCGTAAGCGAGATCATTCACAACAATGCCTGCAGCTCCCGACAATAATAAAAAGTGACTACTGTCCGTCTAATATTCTGTCAAACAAGTGGCCTGACTGTGGTAATCAGAGCTGTGAAATCCTGTTCCTTTATACATCAGAAAGTAGGGTCCTAATTGGACAAGCAGAACTGCGTTTCTGATTGGTCTGAGGGTAAGGAAGACAGTGGTACAAGGAAATGGAATTTCACCCTCTAAATAAGAAATAAATTATGAATTTGAGTTAATTGCAGACTAGATCTCGATTTACGGATATGATAGGGTTGACAATTAAGAAAATAGAACATTTAAATAACAGAGATACGGGTGTAAATTATCATCAATAAGGATAAGGAATCCCAAAAACATGACAATACCGTCAGCCACATCTTTTAAAACAATTTATCTTAATATCTTTGTTGTTTACATATTTCATTTCTTTCTGCATCGACTGACATAATTGCCAAAGTTATTGTGATTCCTTGAGCCTATTGATGAAAATTTAAGGGTATAGTATTATTTTTAATAATAAGTGATTGTTAAGCTTTTTTTTCCAAAATGTGTGCTTATGTAATTAGGACAACACTATTACCTGTCATAGTTCATTAACTGGCTGCCAACGGTGCATTGTTGCAGTCTCATCAATTGAAATCCATCTAAACTAAACTACTTGGACTGGGTGCCTAAGTTTACCTATTCACATCATAATTTTGTTTCAACAGAAAAATCTGTCAGACGGTTTAGTTGTTGTGAAATATTTTAAAAAATGTTACATCAGTTGCACTTGAACCTCATATGATACTACTGGTTGTTATAGACATTGATATGGAGAGTGGTATCAATTTTCTTAGCGGTAAGGTGGAAACAGAAATTAACTTGCTTTGCCATGTCCACTCAGACTGCCAATTATCGTGAGACTAGAAAATTGCCAAACATTAATGGCATATAGGTTCTGTGTGAGTAGAACGACAATATATACTTTATCCAAAGTGAACTAGAATTAATATCAGATGGGTTTTGTGGACATTATAGTAATTTCAATGGTTAAGATCATGAGTCCGTGGTTAAGTGCTCGAGCGCGAAACCAGTAGATCCTGGGTTCGAATCTCACAGGGGGCGAGGTCGTGGATGCGAACTGCTGAGGAGCCCCACAATAGGACGAAACGGCCGTCCAGTGCTTCCAGGTGTTCCATGGTGGTCTAGCTTCAACTGACTCATGACCTTAACCACTGAACTAGAATTGTTAATTATTTCTGGGCTATGGTCGTAGGTTTCTTGTCGACAGACACATATCTCAAATAACAATAGTGATTATTGTACCTGAAACCTAATCAACTCAAATATACATTGGTACAACCTCTTCTTCTACCATAGTTTTAATATCTCATAATTCTTTTCTTCTTCATACTTTTCTTCCTTCACAGCCAGCTACTTCCCCTTCTATCTTCTCTATAGACCTTTTACCCCCAACTGGTTTACTTCTGTTTCGATAATCCTCCTGATTGCAGTTCATATCAATTTCAACAGCTTATCTCCTCATACTGAGCCTTCCCTTCCCAGTTAGAATTTATTTATTTATCTTCATGATGAATATTCAAACACTCAACAACAAAATTATGATTAGTTTCTTTGGTAAAAACAACGTTATATCACTTTTGTTTATTCTACCTCATTGTTACCAGTTTAACTGAATTTCATTACCACTAGTTTTGTAATTATTACCATTTTGGGAAATAAGTATATACTTGTGATTGTACAGTTTTGAAAATGAATTCACCGAAAAGAGAACTCACAGAACAAGTCTTTCTAATTTTATATATCGATGGATATATTCTGTTTACGTCATCACTTCACATTTATACTGAACTCTTTAATCTCATAATTAGTCAATATTTATTCTTATGTAATGAGCTGATATAATGAACTTATTATGCTGTCTCATCATTGGAATTTTGAATACCCCAAGTCTTTGATCAGTTACTATCTTTAGAGATAACATTCAGATAAATTGTTAGGTTGATCAGTCACTATATATTTATTGAGATCGCGGACCGATCAACGTTAGACTATCAGTGAAAACCTGCAAGCACTAGATGGCCGTTTCGTCCTAGTATGCGACTCCTCAACAGTGCGCATCCGCAATCCCAGACATGAGACTCCAACCAAGGGCCTTGACCTCACGCGAACGCATAACCTCTAGACCACTGAGTCGGCATCCAACGACGTCAATGTCTAACTTCAACCAATCCATGACATTACGCGACCGTCTTCCAGTATCGCAATATCATGGATTGATCGAAGTTAGTTTTTCGCCGTATTTCAACTAAAGCACCCTAACATATTATTTCGCTTTGACAATATTGTGATATTCTTTGAGCCATATGATCTAATTTTCATGTCTTTCGTTTCCATTCGGAATAATATAGACTTAAACTCAAACATAAGTTAGTCTTTATAATTACTTTGAAATAACTGACATTGTTACGAAGTGTTATTCATTTTTAATGAGATCAGGTTTCCTGTGCATAACAGTCTACCACTAAAAATCTCACTGTTTTTCTAAATAGTATCCGTACAAAAGTTAAAAAATGTCTGATCCGTTTATTTATAAGTAACAAACAGATCATTTTGTCGACAATAATTTCTTTTAACAACACCTTGGTTATCGATATCTATTCATTCATTTTGATTGTTTATTGATTCCTGAACTTACTACAAACTTTTTATCATTTTCTTAATGCTAGATATTATTGGTTTTGTCTTAATATGTTTGTTAGTTGTTGAATGATCTGAGTCCTGAGTTGCTAGATATTTTTACCTTTCTTTATGTTGGCTTGAAATAAGATTTGCTTTGTAGTTTATTCATCCTTAGAACTCAAATACAATTCTTTTCATTATTATATCTAGTACTTCTGATGATCTATTCCAAAAAATTTATTCTTACAGACTAGAAAAATAACTGGTTATGGGTTGAAATGGAAAAGACCACAAGGTTCTGTACTGGATGGTTTACAAATTTCTAAATAAATGAAAGGAAGATAACAAAATAGTCATTCAGTAAACTTTTGTATTTCATTCTTGAGCTTATATTAGGTTGTAATTAACACAAAATAGATATTAAAATGATTAATGTTATGCATTTAATGAATAAATTGCAAATGTTCATACTGATATCAAATATATGTATCATTGAAAACTACGAAACACTGGATAGTTGTTTCTTTTTAGTACAGGATTCAGCAGGGCACAACAAAAATTCTACCTAGGACACTTAGGCCTCATGATGAGTGCCTAACTTTGTGATCATCAAGTTACCATAAAACGGTATACATTCCTAACTTGGATCAAGTAGATACCTATTCAATAACTGTTACTACTCAACTTATCATTAATCATGTATCATTACCAAGGTTTGATTTGATAATTTCGAACAAATTGAACATTGGATAGTTTGTTATAAATAAATAAATGATATATTTGTAATACCCCAATGAGTAGAAAAATTAAATTTTCTGACGTTTCGTGATTTAGTGTAAGTCGCTTCTTCAGAGAATAAGTAACCAAATCTTGGTACCCTTAAATTTTACGCATCAAATGCTTTCATATCATATTACATAACAAAACATAAATCTTTTTTTCCTGATAATGAAAAGAAAAAAAGTCAAGTGACAAGTATTTTTTGAACCATGTAAACAAATAAGTACTACTAAATATTAATAAACTTATATGTAAATATATACAATAGTCCATAAAAATAATTCCGTTTAATATACTGCCTATTTCTTTTATAATGTTAATGATTTATCCGATAATGTACTTTAAGGGGAAAAAATAAACCTCTTTTTTTAAAAACATGGAAAAACAAAACTTCTCTAGAATAAGTAATTTTTCATTTCAGATTAGTTTCTTTAGCTTGTATTAGTTTATCAATAATTATTTTGACTAAATGAAAAATTGTACTTCATGCAAATCTACTATAGTTTAGGTGAGACTATAATTTATGGATGACCTTTAAGCGGCTCTGAAGTGACCCTGAGAGTGTCCACCAAATGGCGGTTATAAACCAGTGTGAGGAATTAGAATTATGATTTACAGTTGATGGTTAATGCTAGAAATTATATTTAGGGTCTTCATCAAGAACTAACATCAGCTATAATGCCAAAACTCAATGTATCCAAATGGAGGAATGAATATCGCGCCCAAATCCCAGACCAGTTATCTCTTACCTGATTGGCTCGTCCATAAATTATAGTCTCGACATAGTCTAATGTTTATTATTGTCTGTACATAATTACAACCACTTCTGTAGTTCCCATTCATGACTGATTATGAATTCAATCTTAAATAATGTTAATATTATTTATGATTTATCTCTATAATAATGGACAAAATTATTGGCATAATTCGCTTATATTAAGTGGATACATTACTTAATGATATAATTATATAAAACGAAGTGTTTAGGTAAATCAAGAAAAAATTTATTTGTCTAAAAATATTACGCCTTTGGGCGAGATTAGTTAAACAATATTTATCGTTACCTATCTGAATATAGAAAAAAAGCTTTAAAATAGTTAATACGTGTTTCCCAATGATAATTAATGGATGATAAGATATTGATTAATAAGCGGTACGTTTGATCTTTGCGTTACAATAAATACGGCTTCTGATATAAAAGTATATGGTTATTTTTTAGTCCTGGTACATGGCATATACATAGACATTAGGATTACCATTAATATTAAGATGGATGGCTTATCGAAAAAATGAGCCCGGAAGAGTCCTGATACTTCGAATAAAAACAACTCTGTTATAAACTTTATGCCATGCCAGTTAAACTACCTTTGCAACAGACTATGTTAGGATCGTACTTACACCACATATGCCGCTGGATGACTCAGTATCTAGTTTACTAACGAGCTCCACATAAAGATCCATTAGCATAAGTAATATATGGAGCGAAATAAATAGTATTTGTGAGCAATTAAGTGATATGAATTCTAAAATGGAGTCACCTTCAGACTCTTTTAGTCTAATTTTAGTCCATGTATTATAAACGTAGATTTTCAGAAAATGGCATTTCTTAATAAAGGACATAATTTTCAGCTAAGCAAACTAACTGGCTGAATATTAATGTAGAGCTTTTATGGAATATACTAATGACAAAAACACTAAATGGTGAATAGATTAGACGTTTCAGACAGTATGTTCACGTATGATTAAATCGTGAAAGTAAAAAAATATGATAGAAAGAAACTCCCTCTGTTGAGTCTTTCAATAGCCATGTATAGCCTTGATGGTTTGAATAAAGTTTGGAGATGATTTTCTGTCGGATTGATTTCGAGAACCTAAACAATGAATGCAGTCTGGCGAACATTGTATACTTCACCATGATACTTTGTAACACTTCCTCATTCAAATAATTGAAGCAAGTCGTCAAATGGAATTTAAGTTCCAGTCATTTCTAATTTTCATAAGCTTTATGACGAGTAGTTTATTTAAACTTACAGTATATGGAACGAGTGCTCTCAATATCTTTTGGGTATTACTTTTGTTTAATATTCAACAATAATGAAAATATATAATGATTCCTGTCGAACAGCCTACACATTCATCAAATTGTCGAAATCTTGGTCAAAATAAGAATGACTTGAGTGAAAATAAAACCGGAGCTGTTCGGGGAGTACAAACGTGTAAAGAAAAGCAGTTTTAAAACATATTTTATCTATGTAGAGCTTGTGTAAAAATTTAACAACTCCAAGGCACACATAAATGGCTTCAAAATAGACTCACCAAAATTCTTATAAGAGCAGGTTACCTATGGAGACAAAAATGTCCAATTTAAGGTGGTCAAATCATTGCATAGTAGATTATCTACATTCGTTACAACTGTAATAGTAAATAAAAACAATCTTTTAATATAGCATTTAATGGCCCAATATCTGACCCCAGTTATATCAAATGATGATTACTATTAAAAGATACATCCTGGCTACCGTTGTATATAATCATCCACTTAAATCACGTTGGTTAATAATGGGATTAAATAATTCAAATACGAGAATGGACTTCCAATACGTAGATATGTCATACACTAATCAATCCGGAAAGACAGTCAGAGAAACTGAACGAAATTACGCGCGTTGGAGAATGCGAATGAACCAACTCGTTTTGATAAAGCGTGACTCAATATTTATACTCAAACAAAATAAGTTGCAAACACATAATGAATAGGCTGAGCAATTAAAGACATACGATCATATAAAAATTCAAGGTTAATAAGTGAATTATTGACGATGTCAAAATATGGCTTGAGAAGAATGAATAAATTGATCTGGCCAGAAGTTAAAATAACCTGTGTGTGCTTGACATAGCACCAGCCATTACAAGCTTTATCATATACACACATAAATTAAATAAATTATTTTAATCACTGATATCAGTCGACAGTATACATCAGTCATTCTAAGACGGTCTAATAGATAGTGATTTGTAGCGACTCCAAACATTTCTAAAAAATTAAAGGTTCAACCATTAGATCCTTCAGCTATCTATGTAACACCATTAATTTGGCATGAAATTATTTCTTCTTCATTACATATTTGTCAGTCAGCCAATCATATGACATAGTGGAAATCGATACACATTACTACATGATACTGATGAAACGCCCCCCCCCATTCAGTATGGGTAATGTGTAACCATATTAATTATTGAAAATTATATTACGACTAGATATGAATACAGAATTAAATTTTTGTCCTTTTTTAAATACAAAATTACACATTAATAATAAAGTTTCAGTTCATTTTATGAACTTTAAACATTCAAAAAATTTATGGTTTATAATAAACTGGTGGTTACAGCACAACAATTTGAAACAAGATATGGTAATGTTTGTGGTAAAACGGCCCATTCATTTGTTTTTAAATTGTAAGTTTGAATTAAATTTGATGGTTCCATATTGTTACGACCACCAATTAAAAAGATATAATCATTCCATATACGTGTAGCTAATTATTCAACGGAAAAGAAAACATTAAATATAAATCCTCAAGTTTTAAGATTTAATTTTATTGATGAAGTTTTGTTCTCTGAAGTGTATGGTTTGGTCGTGGAGCTTTCATTGTTTTTCTGAACGACATCATCAGCACAAACATCAGGCTTTTACCTGAAGCTCCACCACTAGATCATCGAGCTCAGAGAACAAAACTCCACCTGAACTACAAATCTTCTCCACTACTTAATTTGACATTTAAAAACTTAGGAAACCTTGTAGACAGAATACTAATTGTTGATACAAAGTTAACTGTTATAATCTGTCGTTTATGATTAATTTGTCAAACTAAACACTGATAAATTTAATTTGAGGTTTTTCTTCAAAGCATCTCTCTACAAAAGTAGAAAAATAAGTTCTTTTTAATCTACTTGTTGTTAATATTCCCTGTTCTTGAGATAAACTAAATACAAAATCGTTCAAGGTCATAGGCACGTGCTGATGATCAGTAGCAAGTTAGGATGAAACGTCCCTCTCAATTCATCTCGATTCCTAATGGTTTTTCAACTCAGATCAGTCTGTTATCTTCAGTGTGAAATGATCACTATGAAGCTCCAAACTACATTAATACATATGAAAGATTAGACATTAATGTTTAGAATATCCAGGTCACCCATAGTTAATCAGTACATTTTATAAAATTATTCATTTTAGGATTTTTCTCATTAAAAACTATTTCTAATTCAGTTTATATGATAAAACAATTTATATCAGGCTTGTTTGTCGACCGATCGTTATTACATAAGAAACAGTTTATTTGATAATTTGATTAAAAGTAAATGTAAATAATTAAAATGAATCGAGTTTAATTCATTCGGTGTCATCTGACGACTTTCAACCTGAATAAGGCATAATTACGAATGTTTTTCTAGACAATAAATACAAATAATAATATGCTATAAAAGATTTTCGATTTCAGTACAACGACCTAAAAACCTAGTACTCCTAGAGTTAGCAACTGTCGAGCATTATTTTGCAGTGTAAAACTTATGCGTTTTTAAAGAACAAATTGTATTTTATTCAATGAGATATTAGATTAATATTAATTGACAGTAAAAATATATTACCAGCAAATGCCCGATGTAAAATCATTGGTTTGCCTTTACTCCAAATTGTAGTTTTCAATGAAAATATATCTGTGGAATTTACACAACCAGTTTCATTAGCTCCACCGCATACGTATACACAATCATTATGAATAAAAACACTTGAAGCTTCACGTCTAAAACGCATGGAAACAAGAATAACAGTAAGTATTGATGATGATGATGATGATGATGTTGTTGTAAACTATAAAATTCGTTAATCTCTGCATACCTTAACTCGAATGAATTATATGCAGTATTTGTTAGATACAATAGTTATTTTCGCTACATAACGACGAGAAATGAAAACAAAAAATGTGTCTCAAGCATTGTAAACAAATATGTATAGTGGCTAGCAGCGAAATCTAGGATGCTCGTTTCACCATATTCGGGACTCGTCAGCCGGATGTTGATGTCCATTCTGGGACTGGAACCCAGTAACATTCAGTTCAAATGCCATCGCGTTCGTTGTGAAAACTTCTCGAATTTAAACATATACAGCTACATGGACTCGGGAAGCAACTAAAATGCTGTATAAATTCCGACAAATATCAATATAATGAAATAATTTCACATCAGTATATAAACATTAATAATGAAACAGTCATAAATCAATTTATATTGTCTATCTTACTTGTGGACAATATTTCATTATGAGCTCAATGATTGATTTAATTTTATAGTTTGTTTAATTTCAGTCTACAAGTCACGTGTAGATATGTGTGAAGTTACAATAAAAGATAATTCATATGTAATCATGAATTGACCGCAAGATAATGAATTAAACCTTAATAGTGTTACATGTTACGATCAGATATTCCATGAAATCTTTATAAACAACTACTGTTTAACTAGAACTTCATTCATCATGTAAGCAACATGTATTATCTATAACTCATAATAATTATGATACAGCCTATAAACTGACCGATAAATATACTATTAAATTTACGGTTGTCCTAGAAAACTATTACCATCCTATAATCACTCCGACATTCATCAAAACCTGAAGTAATTTCCATATGATATTTGGTATTACATCTGTCTCTTCAGCACCAATCACTTATTTTAGTGAATCACCTATTAATCAATAATCAATATAAAATGAAGCCCAATCAGAAATATTAATATTTTAAACAACTACTTCTAATTAACATTGAACTATGTTTTAATACCTATTTAGTATAGTATGGTATAAGTAAATGAATCTCAAAAAAATGACACATAGATTACAAAAATTTCATGAAAACATAATTATGATTTCAAGCAGGCAGTAAACAAATAATTTATTACAAAGCACAAGTTTGTCACTTTTTATTCATATTAGGGATTGTTCATTAGAATTATATCCCGATGGTAATGTTTCAATTTTACCTAGAAACATAATCATTATATCTCTTTATTGTTTTCGTTTCAACAATTGCTAACTCTGCTAAAAACCTTTATGACTTAGTGACAGTGTTGAGACAATCCTCTTAGGATGTTCTTATGCCAAGAGAGACTGATCATTTACAGTTCTTAACATCAATGACGGGAAGATTAAAGCACCCTTGATAATTGACTTAAAATTTATCGCTGTTGCACAAGCCAATAGCTGGTGAAATTCAGTATTTGGAGTTTAAAGTGAGAGTAACTGGATACGGGTCCTTGTGTAAACATCAACATGGGCTCGAAGATATTTGGTTGACGAGTTTCAAGTAGAACAAAACAAGCATCCTAGACCCAATTATCCAACTCTGTTTAAGATTTCTGATTGTTGCATATATATGCTTGCTAAACTAAGCATTGAAACAATATAAAACATTTCTTTAATTATTCATGTTTCAATAATGCTTACAAGAAATAATGACTTTTGATCTAATTTGACTTTAATTTTACACGTAACCCTTGGTTGTAATAATTCCAGTTTTTTATCTTATATTCTTCCATACACTTGAATCACCAAACACATATTTATCTTAATAAAATAGGTTTTAACCAAACTGTCTATCAAAATTAAAATAGACTGAGAGAAACATGACTTTCATTTAATATGAATAATTAATTAACGTTTGATATAAAAGATTGATAAATACTCTACCATTCCTATGAGCCTTAGGTTTACCAAATGCATAGGTTACGGGTCAATACAACTGAGAGTTTTAAATAATCTAAAAGGAACTAAATTATCAGTTCTCTTTAGTTATTTTTCAATTGTTTTGCAGTTCATACAAAACTACAGACGAGGTTCATTTTCGTAAAAATTGATGAGGAAAACGTACTTCTTGTCATATAAGACTATCAATTCAGAGAATAGTTGTAAACTATAAGTCTATATTTTTAGAATTTATGCTTTTTGTCTGATGCAATTTGAAAACAGTATAAGATTAGACTTTGGTTACTTACAAAAGTCTAAAAGTAGTAAGGTTGGTCAAAAATAATATTTCATCGAAACCATGAATCGATCAATGTTAGACCACCACTAAAAACCTGGAGGCACTGGACGGCCATTTTTCCTAGTGTGGGATTCACCAGCAGTGCTCGTCCACGGTTTTGTACTCGAAATTCAGACCCAAGACCTTTGGTCTCGCTGATTACCTGGTCGGTATCGAGTAGTGTTTATGCCTTGAGGTTAAGCGAAGACGTGAAACCGGAGGTCTTGGGTTTGAGTCTCGAGTACGTAATCGTGGATGCGCAGTGCTGTGGAGTCCCATACGAGGACGAAATGATCGTTCACTGCTTCCATATTTTTAATGGTTGTCTAACATTTAAATTAAATTCAATGATCTCCACAACCCCAAACAGAAAAATAATACAGATAATACTTTATTCGTACTTTTTCGGTTTATGGAGACCAAGGTAGAGGAAATGTGAGAATACGTAGGAATCTTTACAACCCAGTCATTTAATACGTATATTTCTGACTACCTACCCATTTTTTGATTAATAAATGTAACATCTCATATGTTATTCAGCGAATTAAGAGAGAATACTTTGACACTTATCAAATGACCTGACAAACTTCATATCTATTGATGATTATTTTATCATCCAACTACTTGAATTTGTAAGCACCCATTTCATCAGTGGACAACTTTTGTGTAAACCATTAATTATCCAGATGACTAACAGATTGACTGTATTTAAAAAGAACAAAATTTTATCATCTGGACAGTATTTTGAAGTAAATATCTAAATGCAATACAATAAATCATATACTTATTTCCAAGTGAATTATGTTTTGATAAAGTTTCTGTTTTAAAAATATGGTTTTCTAAGGTTCATATCCAAACAGAGTGTATCTTTGAGTGAATATACAGTACGTTCTTTACGGACATTATCGAATTATTATGGATTTCAACTTAAAAGAATAATAACTTTCTCACATTTACAACGGTAAAAGATGACATTAAACTACAGTAAATGATTAATTTGTGGTGAAAAACGATGATTTGTAATGATTTTCATTCTTCATCAAATGAACATACACAACATAGTTAATGGGAATTTATTCTGCACCACTATAATCAAAATATATTGCACTGTGGAGTTTTCTGCTCTCAAAAGTTTAGTAGTTTGGCGGCTGGTATCGTTATAAACCTAAAGCGTTCTCCAGCTTTAACTTACCACTAAAGACAACCCGAAAAACAATATGATGATTAGAAAAATAAAGTAAGCTACTACTTCAGAGATCTACTGTAATAACTCCACAATGAAACAATTTGAAAAAACTTTGTTCATCTTACTTTGGTATAATAAGATTTGTGTTAACAAAATGATCGTGAATACTTACACTTCAGACATTTTCGCTAAAAATTGCCATTTTCCTGACGTAATATCATACATCTCGATAGTTGAATCGCTGACCCCACCAACAACTATAATTTCATTATTGGTAGAGCAAACGCTACAACCAAATCGTGGTCTCAACATTGACGAACATGATTCCCACTTATTTACTCGTGGGTCCAACATCTCAACGGATGATAAATTTTGATCTGTAGAGATAAAAAGAAACAAATGAATCAAAATGCTGGCAATGATCGTTTTGAATTTCTAGTCAGGATTGTACTCAACTGGTCGATTTAAAACGGTGGTGGAGAAATGTACTGTGACCTAACTGAACAACACCTGTAGTTAATACTATAGATTGATTTTAGCTAGACAATCATATAGAATCATGAGACAGTGGAGAGTGGTTCCTTCTTAAATTAAAACTTCTCACCATTTTGCACACAAAACCCCGTAAGGAATCAAATCTATGACTTTCAGGCCCTGTACAGATCATGTTACTCATATACTATGAAGTCTATACCTCGAGCTTTATACTTCAAACTTAATTGAATTCAAGATACTGTTCGAACATCACCCACCTCTATTAATAATATCTGTCTGAAACTCAAATCGTTAGGTAATATTTAGATACCTACATAGTTAATTTTAACAGCTACATACATCCATATTCACTTAAATTATTAAAAAAACGCTTACCGTTTTCTCCGACACCTCCTATAGCATACATCACACCATCACATTCCGTAACTGAATACCAACTTCGTCCAAGATTTAAATTTGGTCCACTAGACCATAAACCTAATGAAACATCGTAAACATTAGATGTTTTCATTGAACATTTAGGTTTTCCACCAACGAGATATATTTTATCATTTAAATTGATAGCCCCAAAACCTTTTCTTAAAGAAGGCATAGTTTTTAAATTTGGTAAAATTATTTGTTTTAAATAAGGAAATGTACATGATTCCATATAATTATTATTTGAATAATTTTCATCAGTATTATAATTTTGATATGGATCCATGCATAAATTTTCATTCTGATTAATAAATGATTTCATTTCAAAAATTTTATAACATGTTATATTTGATGAGAAACTTTTGTTACATAATCGTCCTCCAAAGCATATCAAAGATGTCTGAAGTAACAAGAAATATTTCTTTTTAAAAACGAAATAACATCAGAAGGGTTTTTTGTGGATATTATAATAATTTCAGTGGTTGAGATCATGAGTCAGTTGAAGCTAGACCACCATGGAAAACCATAGGACGAAACGGATGTCCAGTGCTTCCAGGTTTTCCATTGTGGTCTAGCTTCAATTGATTCATGATCTCAACCATTGAAAAGAAATAACAATTAATTCAGAATACTGTTAATAATTATCTACCGATAAAATTCTCAAATGAACACCATGATGATGACGATGATGGTGTTGAGTCCTTCAAATTTAATGACTTTTGCCATACTTCAAATGGTTAAGAATTGTTAAGGTCCTGTACCCAATAGACTTGATGCTCTTTATTCTCTTCTTTTCCGTACCTCATTTGTAGTGCACAGCTATGGAGATTCTTACGCCCGATACACAAACCTTACGTACGTGTTCTTCATGGTCACAACTTATACTAAGTGCCTTTCAATCATTACTGTAAACTTATCAAACAGTTCTACTATACAAATAATTTTCAAGTAAACCTCCTTGAACACTATCCTGTAAATCATTGCTGATTTGTGAATGTTACATCTTAACAACTCTGTTGGGCATCCATTCTATCTGTAAACACTTATTGGAAACCTCTTCATACTTGTAAAAATGGTGTGTACCCGCTTTGCTGGAAATATATTATAATTATTCATTGGGAAGCTGTCATTGATTTTCTACATCACTTCAAAAGTGCTTATTTTAGGATTCTTTCATTTGTACCAATTTATAGCGATCAGAACTCAATATTACTTTTGTCCACAAAGCACATATTTAAATTAACACATTTTTAACAGTTCCGTCTATCTTCTGACGAATTCTGATCGAAATACAACTGAATTTTAATCAATTTATTTAATTGCATAAGAAACGTCTTGTGATGAAAGATTTATTTATTTATGTCTTGGTCATAACGATCTTATGAATTTAGAATTGAATACTTTATTAGTCATAAATTACCATGTTTGATTATTCGATTTGGTTGAGTTATAGTCAGTTACTCCAGGAATATATCTGTTGACAACTGTCACTCATTGTTAAAGTCTAATAACTATGTTATATTCCTAAGAACATAATTGGAAATACAAAGAATCAGGTGATTTGATTAACTTTCATTTATTAACCCTATAATAAGTTATCTATATGTTTAAGCAAAACTTCGTTAAACAATAATATTAGATAGAATAACTAAATTGGAAGTAGATGCCTGAAATACTTTGAATACTTAAAGAAAAACAAAGTGGTTTAGTCAGTATTAGAATGTTAAAATGTACTCAAAAATGACTTACGTTTTCTGTAGTTTGTTTTGGCGAGTCCTTATTCAAATCGCATACCGGTAAATTAGTCAATGTCAACTCTTTGTCTATAGAATGATTTGACTAAAAAAATATGTATAATGTAAATTATAACAAAAGTCATTCATATGTATCTAAGTAGATTCTTACTTGAATAGATGTTATATTAATTTAGTTTACTTTTCATCTCAAAGTAACATCATTTGAAGATCTTTTAGTAACATAATATTATTGAGACATAAGAAAGATTGGTTCTGTGAAGAGTTCTGTTCTCGGAGAATTCGTGTTCAGAAGCTGTACAATCGCAAATATATACTTCTGTTTCAAAATGATAATAATTACAGTAATAGTGATAATAAAATTCTATTAAACATGGTAACAGTGAGTTAGAATAAACAAAGGCAATAAAATGTTATAGAGGTCTCTATAGACTTTTTACCCCCAACAGGTTTATTTCTGTGTGTATGATTCTCATGATTACAGTTCATCTCAATTTTAACAGATTATCTTGTCATGCTTAGCCTTCCCTTCCCAGTTAGAATTTATTTATTTATCTTCATGATGAATATTCAAACACTCAACAACAAAATTATGATTAGTTTCTTTGGTAAAAAGAACATTATATCACTTCTATTTATTCTACCTCACTGTTACCATGTTTAATAGAATTTTATTATCGCTATTACTGTAATTAATAACATTTTGAAACAGAAGTATATATTTGCGAATGTACAGCTTTTGAACACGAATTCTTCGTGAAGAGAACACTTCACTGGATCAATCTTTCCTATTTTACGTCTTAAGGGGTATATTCCGTTTGCTTAATGATAATATTGAACAATAATTTCACCCCAGTTTATGAGCATTTAAAAATGAACACTCATAACCTCACATAGACTCAGACTTACAGAATTAACTAGTTAGTATCGAGTGGTTTACAATTGTCATCTTCCGATAATTCGTGATATAATGCGCTTCTCAACCAATATGATAGGTGGATAGCTGGTTCACTTCAAACCTGACTAATCACTATTATATATTTGAACCATCGGATAACACTTCACTGGACGAATGATGTAAGACTGGCCGTTAAACTTCGAAGTCCTGATTTAATTACAAAACAGTTAGACTTATAAGATGAAAAACATTTTTCAACGGTGGTATTAGCAAATATAATTATCCTCATTGATATTTGAAATCTTAAAGTTTAGTGAGTTTTTATCGTTTAACACTAAAGTCTGACTTGAGTTAGATAACTAATTGAAAACAAGAAACAGTGGACATCTAGTTCGTCTTAGTATAGAACTCTTTAACGGTGCTCATCCGCCCCCAAACATCTATTGGTCTTGGTATCTTTATTTCTCATGAATAGGCCTTTTTAAAATTCTGGTAGTATTTTGATCACAACTTTTATTACACTACACTGTTCCTAACTTATAGGAACTTACGAATAAACTTTGATAGAATTTTCACATTTGAAGTGTTTTGCTGACATTGTTTAAATAAGTTAACTTGTTGCTAATGAATTTTCCATGATAGCGATGAACAGTTTACTATATACAAACAATTTACTTAAATGAATATTTTGTAATCTTGATTATTATATATATCTGAAAGCACTGAAGTGCTGTGCGAAAATGCCAACTCCACTGAAATATAAACATTTGCTTAATATTGCTTATTCAAAAAGAAGAACTAGTTGAATATTGCAAGAAGTGTAAAATACACATTGATAATTTTGTCTTACTAACTTACTTTACGATTCCATTTGGCTATTGCTACTGACCTTGATAACTGACCTAAATCAATAAGCGCGTTTTTTACATATGAATGAAATATATTCATCTCTTGATTTTCTAATATATCAAGTAACTTCATTATGTCTATCAATTGAAAACGTATATGCTCACATAGTTGTTCTTTATATGTGTGACGATTGTCATAATCCTTTTTAATCCATATATGTATAAATTCCAGAAGTTTCCATTCATCTTGAACTTTGAAGTCATCTTGTTCTAGTATTGCTAATAGTTCTTTAGGTTCAATGTTTATAGTCTCATGATTATCTAACATTTTGCTTCAAAGATAAAAAAAAAGAAAAAGAAAGGAGACAGTGAATACGATGAAGGTAAATAAATTTACGTAGAAGTATGTTGTTTTAAAGAACACTTCATAAAAAGCCAAAAACTTTATGCAAAACCAGTCTACGATGAAATGTAAAAACTTATTTTGTTATATTAGTAGACTAAAGTAATCGAGTTTTATTTCTCACTAACATAATTAATTATTTTTAGTCAAATAAAAATTTTCGACAAAATGATGCAACTGTATGAATTAATCTGAAGAAAGTATTGGAATATTATGATTCAACACAAATTTGCTAATAGATTTTGGCTTGGTTTTTATAATAAATGAGAAGTGAGCGATTAGAAGTTTCATCCTTGACTGTAACTACTGAACTAGCCTATTTATAGAATTCGTCCAAATCTACTAACTTTGTTAAGTAACAGGAACTTTAGATAACCATCAGAACAAGTCTGAACATTCATGTATCAAAAGAAATTTATTTTGAACTTGTCTTTAATATAGTCTTACCCCATGATTATTTTCATTTGACTAAGTGTATACTTAAAAGTGTATCCATCTGCTCTTGTCCTTTTAAATTTTATTAATAGCCATATCCAGTATGATTTTTTTTCAATCCTTCTAACGCCTTAATTATTATAATACGAACTTTTCAGTTATCTTACTTTATTCACATTATAGTTTGATCGTGGATTCACTCTACTGAGGAGTCCCACGGTAGGGCGAAACAACCGTCCAGTGCTTCCAGGTCTTCCAGAGTGGTCTAGCTTCAATTGATTCGTGATCTCAACTATGATAATAATATACTATAATATCCACAAAACCCCTTCTGATATTTAACTAGTTAGTTCTAGACTCCTTCCTTCGCTCATAATCTTGTGTTATTTATTATCATCTGAATTATATAACATAGTATCAGGATTTATTATACGCTTATTGATTGTCTGTATTTCCTTACATAATCCAGCTTTATACATATATCTGCTAACTGGATACACGAATTGTGGACTTCAGACTTGTTTTTGCTATAAACATAGAAATCAAATATGTGACTACATATTCATTTGAACTTAGCAAATTCTACATTAAAATAAATAACAATATAATGAGTATGGTCAAAACTATATTTTCTTTCTTTTCAATTAAATACAAACTATTGATTTTAGTTTCAATTAACCTCCATATAGCAAATGGCTAAGTGACTAAATAAACTCAGTATCACAAATTATCAAAATAAAATATCATAAAAATCGATAGTGTTTTTCATTTGTTGTTTTTTTCTCTACGTATAATTTACATATTTTCTCAGGTTTTTATTTGTTTTCATAGAACCAGTAAGTAATAAGTAATTGTTAATTTACGTACATAATTCAAGGATTAACTGTAAATTTTATCATTTATTGATTTAATTCTTGAAGGTTAACTGATATCATGATTAAGACTGATGTCATTAATAATAGTGAATGATCGTCGTGAAGTATCATAAATTCATCGACGTTGACACATAACTCAGTGATCTCAAGCTAAATTATCTAAAGTTACTATATTCATCGGCAAACCTAAAAGTATTCCGGTTACATTACATATGCATTTGTGAATGTTCACTGTAGAGATGTACCAAACGTTTTTTGTATTTCTTAGCATTTATTGGCTAACATCAGTCACTGAAAAAGGTTTACCTCCAAACAATTAAATAGTTCGATCCTGTTTCTTAATACTTCATGGCTCATGACGTTTTTTTTATTTCGATACATAGTATTATAGTATTTAGGGAGTATATCTTCAACCTATCTACGTAGTTACCATCCAACATATTTTGGGTTACATCAAAAACTGATATTTGGTAGGCCATTGATTCTTAGAATCGGACTCTACGTCAACACACATCCACTACCGTATTAGGGGTCCAATACACTTTCTTCGTGGCACAATATAATAAGTTGACATTTTAATCAGTGAATCAATGTCCGGTGGTTCGCACATTATTTGTTAATTATTACTGTGCAGAGTTAGCATTTTTATAAAAATTCAAGAAGTGATTACTCTATAGTAAAGTGCTTAATACCCGTATTTCTTTAACATAAAACAGCCAAGCACTGTTTTACTTCACGCTTCTATGATACTTTATATCCTATGATATTTTACCAAATTCAGTCAACAGCTTGCTCGAACAGAAAATTAAACTCTTTAATTACTGTTATAAGGTAATAGTCAGTCAAATGATATATCGATAGACTTAATGTTTTTTATCTTGTTCTTACTCACTATTATTTGTTCTATTTGTTTCTAACAATTTGAGAAGCCTTATTTATCAAATTACGAGTTTATCTGGTCTAATGGCATATACATTAAGAGTTTATTATTGTCAAAATTGATGTACTTTGCAACATTTGGTGAGACTATAATTTATGAAATACCTTTGAGTGACACTAGACTGACCTTGAGAGTGTCTGCTACTAAATGAGGGTTATAAACCTGTGTTAGGAATTATAATTATGATTTACAGTTGATGATTAAGATTAGAAATTGTATTTAGGCTTCTCATCACAAACTGACATCAGCTATAATGCCAAAACTTTATTTATCCAAATGGATGAATAAATTCCACGTTAAAATCCAAGATTTGTTATCTTATACATGAATTGTTTCATCCATAAATTATAGTCTTACCATTTATAACATTTTATATTAATGTTTCAGATTATCTAAGTTTACTTATATACTTACTCAAAATGTTTTGCTGCATGTTTAATACATTCATTAGTTAATTGATTTGCTTCACAATTATTTACATTATTATTTTGTCTCATGAATATTAAACAATTATTCTCATTTAAACTTGTTTTCAAATAGTTAATACATGCATCTTGAATAAATTGTATGTTTAATAAAACACCAACATTGTACAATTCAATTACAGTTAGATCATCAATTGTAATCTCTGGATAATGAAACATATTTAAAAAAGGTAAAGAAGTATCAGTGTAAACAGTCGAAATATATTAAAGAGAAGTGTAGAATTTATTAAAATTTTATCAAAGGATCATAATTTGCTTCTACTGGGAATGTGTTTTATTACTGATTTTCAATGGTATTTCACTTGAGATTATTCAGGAATATGGAAAGCTTAATGAAATAACTTTTTGTGGTTGGTTTTTTTCTTCAGAATAACTAGTTTTTGAACATGTAAAATCGTGAAGATGGATAGTGGCTAGCAGTGGAATCTTGTATGAGGGTTTCGTGCTATTTTGAACTCGTTAGCTGGATGTACCAGGGAAGATACAAATAAACAACACCAAGTGAATGCTAGATTGTGTTTTATAATTTTTTAATAACATTCAATTGAACTAGTTAATAATCAAACATAATGTCTTAACACATACACAGAAAAAGTAATCTGACTTCATTTTGAAAGCTGTAAGAAGTGATGTCAGTGGAAATTACACAGAATGGCACTCTATCAGAAAATTTACATATTACTTATATATTCGTAATAAACTAACATGACTACCAATGAAAAACAGCACATCTAAATCCGTGTATCTCTAATCTAGCGTAAATTAGTAATTCATTAAGTAGAACTTCTTTTTTAACACGACAGTACAAGATCAAGTGCAGAATAATTGTTTTGAAAAAGAAATCATGAATCACTAAGTTTTTCAAGGGGTCAACTGACTATAAATATATACATTTGTGGTGTTCGCTTATGTTAAAAATAATGTGTTCACAAACGAGTATGCTGAACTATTTCAATGGAAAATAGAAGTTTTAAAACATCTAAGGATTCTGTCAGTAATAGTGGCAACAATAACATACTAATACATTAACCACAAAAACACTTATAATCTACCCATTTTTGACATCCTAGAGTACGAAACAATCCTTTAAAAATAAAATACTCACTTTAAGGTGTCCTCCTAAGGCTAGGATTATTAATCTTCTTTCAAGGATTTTGCAGGTACTCAGTTACGTTGATCTTGTTGGCGGTAGTAATCAGATCAATGAACTAGCTAAGATGTTTTGCTTGTTCTCTTTTTCCTGCTTATGACATATGTGACCTATGTTTCTACCAAGAAATCTGTTTATAGCTCATATTACAGATGTTAAAGTTAAACTCCATCTACCTATTTTTTTTACTTAATTCTAGTTAACATTTGGGTTATGAACTATGTAACTAATGAGATTGACGACTTGAGGAGTAGGTTTACAAATGATATGCCACTTAAATAGGTATATTAGATCAACATCCCGTATTATATTTTAATATCTGTTTAACTACATCAAAGTTATGAAGTGAACTATTAAATTTTTTCAATAAAAATACATGAAGTGAGATAATGGATTTTTATTAGTAAACATCATTAAACAAAAGATAAATCACACTGTACTTAAATGGATAACATTTTGTAACAATAAAAAGACGTTTTCCCGTCTTTATTCAACTAATAGTAATTGGAAGTTGTGTCATATTATGTCCAATAAATGATGGAACTCAGACACTGAAAACCTCATTTCGTAAAGTCTCTACTCATCAGATTTAGCATCTTATGATATTGTTTCTTTATTTCTGGATCACAAAACTGTCATGTAGAGAGTGATACAGAGGTAGTGAGATGACGAGGAGACATGAGACATAAGGCATCTGAGGAACATAACTTCTAAAGACTTCCAGAGATGAGTTGAATAACATCTGATTGTCATAAGTAGGTAGTATTGCAAATAAATATCTGGCTAATATGAATTACATTTTAGAAAATGAACATTCAATGATCTCAAGTAACCTGTACGCTTTCTACATTGGAATTCCTTAAAGGTAAGTATAACACAGATTAACTAAATTTACTACTTTCCATTATTATTTATCAATAATGTAACCAAATGAAACATTATACTGGTAAATTTGAACGCAATCGTTTTTAAAAAGGACAATTATAAACTCATTATAAACTTCATAATTATTGTGTACTTAATAATAACTGGAGTTTGTCGTGTCCTGAGAGCTGATGAAATTCTATCGACATTATGTTGCAATGTATCCACTAGAGTAAATGAAATTATGTTACTCTTTACTTTATTTGAAACTACGTAGTCAATAGAAATCTCTGTAGTTATGGTTAATACTATTTAGTACTAATCAGTAAAACATATTTACATTCTTCAGAGAACTGATGTCAAATTGCGATTGCTAAAAATAGAATGGTAGACAGTTATTTTAATTGTTGTTATAGCTACAGAGCATTTCGGAATTATATCTAAAATCATAACCTAAAAAGTAATGAAGTTACCTTGTGAATTTCTGGATATTAATACAATGAAAAACATTGGAGAGGAACTTATCCTACAACTACATTCAAATCGTTTCCACTGTGAATAAAAAAAATCAACCAGTAGAATCTTGGATTTCTTTTAAGTAAACTCAAATGTACTGAATTTTATTGTCAAGTGAATAGAATCATCATATTGATTATTCATTTGAATCGATACCTCTATCACTCAGAAACTTGGTAAATCCTTGAAAATATCACATGCATAACAATCTCATTATAAAACACATCTTCTAAGCTATTAAAGACAATCTAATAACTTAAAATTGTTTCTTGAATACATTAACTTATTACATCATCATAGTCTTTACAATAAAAAAAGAAGAAAAACTCAGTCACATTCTGCCTATACAGAAGAATATTTTCAACCCATTTTATTAATTGGCAGTGCTTATGTTGTTCACAATAATCAATAATCAATATTATCAATAACCATTTTTGAAAGAAGAAAAAAAAACACAGACAAACCTGATTGATAAATATATTTTACAAAAGTATCCAATGTTTTCGCAGATATACGACCTAAATAAAATGAATTCTTTGATTGTTTTACTGTGTTACTAACGTGATTATTATTATTATTATTGTTAATGTTATCATAACAATTTATATTAATATTATCAGTTGAACATTCTACATTTTCTTCTTCTGCCATACAGAATTGATCAATTTTTGTTGAGACAGCACGTAATACACATTTATGCACTATTTGACTATGTGATTCACATTCTAATAAAAAACCACAATCATTTTGTTTAGTTCTAAAATTGTAAAACAAAGAATAATTGTACATATAATCATATTAATAACATTTTATTATAGCGAATTGTTTGAAAGATATTGAGATATACTGAGACATAATATCAGTACGAGAAACATGCCATTTCTATGATTATACATATACATACTTGAATGACATGCGTATACTCAGTGATAAATTCTTATTTCTCATCTCAATGTTATTCATATCACATTCAATGATATTGAAATAAAATCAGATATTGATTGGCACATTAAGGTGAAATCAGTTTCCATTTTATGAAATTATTTAAGAAATTAACAAAATGAAAATTAATTTACAGACAGAATGTATTATTTGAGTATAGTTCACCTTAGAATAAGAAGATTTTCCAGAATTTAAGTTTTCAATGTAATAGAGTTCATTTACAAACACGAATGCTTTTACTCGATAAACATAGTATCATAGAATGTCGCTGATGTAAATAAAATTTTGTATTTTAAACATTATATTAATCTTTATAAACAAAGATGGATAACGGCTAGCAGTAGAATCTCGAAAGCAAGTTTCGTACTATTCTAAACTCGTCATGTGGATCTACCTGCATCTCAGAGCTGATGTTCACTCTGGGATTCGAACCCAGTACTGTTCGCTTCAACTCTGGAATACAGGCACATCCAGCTGACGAGTCCCATGTAGGATAAAACACGCGTCCAGGATTCTACTGCTAGACACCATTCATCTTTGCTTATAAAACTTGTGACTTAAGGCAATATCGACGCAGTCCGCACAGGATACACACATGCCGATAAGAGACCGATCAATTACAGTCCTAAACAATAACAATATAAAATTAAGTTAAAAATCAAAACAGGCCGATGCATAAACCCACCATCACATCGTGAAGATTGAAATATATAAGCGATCAAAAATCAATAAGTCACTGAGTAATTTTAGTTACATACTAATGCAGACTGTCTTTATTTTATTGACATCTCATCATTGAGTTGGATTTAATGTAAATGAAGATGATTCTGTTAAAATTTGCCAAGTGATAAATCTGTAAATATTGCGACCATGATTGACTGGTAGTTGTGTCAAATTTTAGACAAACGTCTTTACATAGAGATGTTATATTACCCCTCTTGATAACGATAGTGTTAATCAATCTTGAAAGGAGCATATTGATGGGTAAAATGAACATATTATTTGTCTATATTAACTAGTGTATTCATTTGAGAGTCAGTAGAATAAAAAGAGATTCTTAACGATTTTTTAACGAAAGTAAATACACATCTCAAAAAATTAAAAACTGGAATAAATACCCAATTAAACTCATAATGTATTAAGATATTTGAATTTGCAGGTTTATTTTATTCTAGATGACATTGAAAAAAAATCTAAAGATTGTTTAATAAAATATTCAATCTTCAACATCAAACATACATGTAATAATCTCTTGGATAAAGACTTCGGTACATCCACGGTAAGCAAGTTCTCTTATACATGTCATTAGTTTTGTTATTATTCTTTAGTACTAAATGGTGTACTGTAGAAAAAATTCACTTTAAGTAAGTCATGTGGGTGATACTATGATTTACGGACGAACCAATCAGATTTAGGATAACAGATCTTGAATTTTGGTGCGAAATTCATTTAACCATTTGGCCGAATAGCGTATTGGCATTTTAGCTGATGTCAATTCGTGATGAAAACCCTAAATTTAATTTCCAACCCTAACCATCAAATGTAAATCATGATCCTTATTCTTCAAACTATTTTATAACCCGCATTCGGTCCTAATTAGTGGGAGGAAATGATCAAGGTCATTTTAGCACCGCTCAAAGACCGTCCATAAATTATAGTCTCACCATTCCTTGTCTAAAAATTAAGAGAAAGCACCGACTCTCAACATGAAAAATATTTAAATATTTTCAGTCACCAATTCAAATTTGTTTAACTTTTATTGATAGGCTAAAAAAGAAATAATTAACTAACCTTTGCTGTTGATGTAATTTTTGACAAATATCAAATGGACCCATTGAATTTACAAATTTTCCTTTCATTTCTACCATTGTATTTCTTTATATACATCAGAAAGACACATACATATATGTGATAATGATACACAGTGAAGTGTTTTATGATACAACAATAATTTAAATTGACAATACTTCAAGTTTTAATTCCGAATATAATTGCTTCTTTAATAAATATAAAATAAACATCTTTATTATTTATTCACTAATACACAAAATATTATTCAATATACATAACTTTTCGAAACGTGAAATCAAGCCTATCAATATGTTTTATACAATTTAGTGTAGAATGATCTATGCACACAGACATACATATGAAAGTAAAATCACCTGGTTCATTGAAAGTATCACATGATTTTCACGTTTATATAGTGCTTAAAATAATTGTCACTAGCATGGTTACAAACAGATTGTTTAACATAGATCAATAAATTTTGTTTAGGCTTTAAACCAATAAGCATACTTTCTTGAATAGAAATGTTTATGAAGTAGCAGATTTTGTAAATTTGAGTACGTTATAGAGATTACTTTAATGTGATTATATCGTTCGGTTATATGGCCAGAGAATGATATCAACTTGTGAAGTATTGAAAACCAGGGGATACTAAATTACTTGCCAGTTGCAGTTTGAGACTCCTCATCTGTTCTCAATCACGATGATGCCGTCAACAAAACCGAATAATTTCGAAAGCGAAAAAGCTATTACGGATGAAAATTGGTGTGGTTATACAAATTGAAGTTGTACTTAGTTGCCTAGAGGTAACCCACTGGATACTTTCTAGTACCATTTATAATATCGATACTTCCACTGCTCTTATACTTTTCTTGATAACTGCATCTCGTTGTGCTGATATGCTGTGGCAACTCAAATCCATGCATATGTTCTAGGTTCTACATTGCTTATGGTTGTATCACTGAGACAATTCTGGGTCCGATCTCTAGCGTGTCTGTTGGTTAGCACTGTTAATACGTTCTAGACAAGAACAAAAGTACTGTCACGTGTCTCTGGTCTTCACTTGTCCCCTAGATTATTTCAATCCTTTATGAATAAGCAATCTATGGAAAGTAGAATTTTATTAAATGAGTAATTGGAACGAGTATATCATAAGGGATCCAGAAAGTATTATATTCAGCATTAATAACGACAGATATGCAATAACAGACCCCTGAGGCTTTGAGTGACAACATCAGATGCTTATGTGATCACTTATTAAACCGGATATTCATCAGATACTAAGCCTGTCTTCTTGTTATCTACTGTTTATTATTTAGTTGTAGAAAGTAATGTAGACAAGATTCATCTTCCAAAAGGCTAAAAATATGATTCAAACAAAACCGGTAAGTAACCTCGACTTAAATTTAGTTTATGTACATCTCAAATAATTTAACTTTAGGATATTACTATGTTAAGTTTCTCCTGAAATACATAATTGTATTCACAATATCTTGCAATATTTTGCAAATAAACCTTTATGACCATTCATTGAAAAGAATTATTTGAATGAACTACAACGTTTAATAAACCTTTCATTAAACCATATACAGAGAAACATTTTTATTAAAAGACCAAAATGGAATAAGATATAAATCCAAGCTAATTGGACATACGAAAAGTCAAAATATTTTTCAGTTATGGTAATATTACGTAACACAGTGTTACTTCTGCTCCAAATCCTTATTTATGTATTCTTTACCTTTGTACTTATTTTGATATTGCTCTTTTGGTAAAATCATTCAGTACTTCTATGCAAAAATATTAGAAATATTGTTTTTCAATCCCGGTCTCAATGCACTAGGTATTTTGTCTTGTTTTGTTTTTTAAAATGGAAATTATTGTTTTACTCATTTACCCAATTTTGGTCTTTGTATTTTTTTTTAAAAGAAAAAAGAATGAAATTTATTATACACTTAAAATATCTACATATTCTCAACTCCCTTCGCTAAAAAGCAAACTATACTCGATCTCATTTACAAATGATCTCCGGTTACAACTGTAATGAACTTTGTTTATTTTTTAGGATATGAAAAATTGAAATCAAATTGTCAAATGTGTATCAATAATGAATTATTTTTCAGATGGAAATGCCTTTGAAACTTTTGTTTTCTATATGGGTTTGGGGTTGTAAGCAGCGAGACTATCGGTTGTAGGAGTTTACTTTGTAGGTAGCGTCATGAGTGATTGAAGTTAATAAATCCATGAATAAAACCAGGTATTTGTTCAATATTTCTTATTTTCAGTGATGATTGAATTGAGGTAAAATTGTTATGACTTTTGGCCTGTTAATTATGACGTGTCTAATTTGCCAATTAGAACACGACTGATATGACTTTGGTATTGTACCAAACCAAGGATGCGTTGTTCAGTATGAGCAGCCTGGTGTCAACTCTAAGCCCTTATTAGTTCTTCCTGCCCAGTCCTGTCCGTTAGAGTCCAGAACAATATCACAGCATCCACTGTATAAATCGTATATTCCAGACATACGTAGTTTGTATACAAGCAAACCAGGCTGTAACTAGTACATTGGGAATAACTGAAAAATAGTAAATCGTATAATAGTAGTCAATAAGTCAAATAAAAGCTGATGGTAAATGGAATATAGATATATATAATCTGGTTACTTAACAGCAAATATAGATAGTGGTTAAAAGTGGAATCAAGGGCGCGCGTTCCGTCATATTTGAGACTCGTCAGCTGGATGCGCCTAATCAATTGCAGTCCTAAACATCAATGGGAAGATTCAAGTAAACAATGCCAAGTGTAGCTACTTAATAGTTATATAATACCTGCTTATGCATGTTACTCCTCGTGGAGGAGCATAAAACGTCCATCAGGATCCTCCAACATACTCTGTCATCGGCTGTCCTTCCCAGTTGTTCCCAGTTGCCATCCATTCTATTGATGGCTGCCTCCGATTCTCGATGCAATGTGTTCCTCGGTCTCCTTTCTTTCCTCTTCCAGTCAGCATTCCATATTATGGATCACCTAGTGAACAAGTTTCATGATTTTTGCAAAGTATGTTCTATTTTTTCTTCAGTTAGAAGCTGATTTGTTCGCTACCACAGTGGAATGTTGCTGATCGTATGCGGTCAATGGATATTGAGTATCTTGCGTAGACAACTGTTTATCAATACCTGTACATGTTTGATGATGGTTGTTGTAGTTCTGTAATTTTCAGCTCTGTACAGTAGAACTGTCTTGGCGTTTGTATCGAAGATTTTGACTTCTACGTTGGCTGATAGTTGTTTTGAGTTCTATATGTTCTTCGCTCGTATGAATGCTGTCCTCATGCCTTAACATCTGTATCCGATCATCCTTGTTCATCATGATGATAGCCAGATGCGTGGAAGCTTCCACCTCTTCCAGAGCTTCTCCATCAAGTATGATTGAGTTGGTGTTCTCCGTGTTGTATTTGAGGATCTTGCCTTTTCCCTTGTGTATGTTGACTCCCACTGCTGCTGAGGCTGCTGTTACACTGACTATCTTCACCTTCATTTGTCGTTGTGTTTGGTATAGAAGAGTCGGGTTATCTGCGAAGTTCAAAGAACAGTAAATCGCACATTATTAATCTATAGATCAAAGCGAAGCTTATAATCAGGGGAATGTTGATATACATAATCTAATTACTGAATAGTTATACCATAAGAATATATAGATAATATTAGTCCATCAATAGGTCTCATAAGTTACTCGCAATTTAATTTTTGCTAGGATGTAATACTGTGGACAACATTAATGCAACTTCTTGTATGTCAAGTATTTTTTTCTTTATGATCAAAGTACAGCAACGTCTCTACCGAAGCTAATCTTTTCTGTTCAGCTTAGGTCCAATGGGTTTTACGTGTTCCGAGAACCTCCAGGTTGTTTCTCCTCGTTTCTCCAGCTATTTGATTGGTCCTCTCTGTCTCCCACATTATCCTGACATTCCATGTACCTATATTATTCGTTGCTCTGATTGTTAGAAGGGGTATCGTCATCGTGAAGAATCTTGGTTTTCGCCATAAAACATCGTAATTCTTCTACATGAAGATCCGTCGACTCCCTGGACAGAGTTTAAATGGCATAAGTGATTTTTTCTGGATGGTGTTTTTTACGGGATGAAGTTGCGGACCCCATGCCAAACCTTCCTCCTTTATCCTAACTTGGGACTGGCATTTACCTTCGAAGGTCTACAGATGGAGTTAATGTAAGACATACTATAAACATATTACAGTGATTACTTGTTCCTGTTCTTCCGTGATATCCATTTTATTTTCATCATGAAATCACCAATGACACTTCAGTCCTCCAACGAAAAGAATACTGGTCCTAATATCTTGCATCTTGTGGCTGTCAACAGTGGAAAAACCAAATATATCACTTTGTATAATATCATAACCACGATACACCATAATCAGATGATATCTCAATAAATTCTTTTTCCCCCAAAAAGCAACTACCACTAATTAAATCTTATCAGGCCTAGAGAGTAATAATAACCCCAAAGTAATGCTGTTCATAACAGTGTTGCGAGACAAAAAACAATTTCACTATCTAACAAACTATTTAATTCATTTAGGTTTATGCGGCATCTATCATTTTACAAAATGCAGATAGCGCTGTAGTGATGCCATTCACTTAACTACTTATTTTTTTCATAAACTACTTATTATAGAGAACTTTTTACTTAAAAGATTGATGAAAATCACGTTATACATTTCGAAAATAATGCTGTGCTCTGAATTTGTTGCACCTTAGATTATGAATTTAACTTTGATTTTATGTTCTACAATATTAAAATCTTTGTGATAAATGCTCATTAAAAATAATTTATGAATCATGTCCTTAAAAACAATGAAACCTTATATTTTCTAGATAATCCCTCTCCATTTATATTAACCTGATCATATCTGTAAATTGATCTGCATTTAACAATTATTTATAGAATCAGCTATCATCATCCTTAATATTGTTAAGCTACAAATGTAGCCTGATACAAACTATTTAAAATGATGAATTCAAAGGTTTAGTACTTACATTTAAAGCTCAATTCGGTTTATTGTTTATATAGTTTTGTCTTAATTATATAACTTGCAACTAGACGGTTTGGATTTCGCAGATGATCTAGCTCTTTTATCTTATACACAGTAACAAATGCAGGTGAAGAAAACCAGTGGGGAAGAAGCCTCTGTATCAGTAGGCCGCAACATACACAAGAGAAAAAGCAAGATCCTCAAATACAACACGGAGAACACCAACTCAATCATACTTGATGGAGAAGCTCTGGAA